CCAACCCCCCCCCCCCCACTAGAGCCAGTGGGGGGTGGTTGTGAGGAAGGTGGCCTGTACCAAGATGAGAGCAGTGGATGGCCCTGGGGGGGGAGATGGTTAGAGGGTTGTGTTGGGATGTGATGATTGGATGTAGGGGAGTAAGGTTCTATAAAGGCACAGGCTTATTGGGGAGGTTTGGCTTTGAGCTGTGATTGGTACCTAGTAGCAGCTGGGTATTTGGGTTGTGGATAACATACCTGAGGATGATGGTGCATGCAGGTGGGCAAACTAGGTGGGAATTTAGTGAATACTAAGGTAGAGTGAGAGTAACAGTTGATGGACAGAGAAGGGAAAGGCTGCAAAGAAAAGTGAGGTCAGAGGGGGCTGGTAGGGGTCTGTTGCTTAGGAGACTGAGGGGAGAGGGGCTCTCCACACACCTGCATTGAGGATTAAGAGGTGGCCCAGTGATGGCCTTGAGGAGAACAGTCTCCCCAAAGCTATGGGGCAGAAGCTGATCTGCTGAGGGATGGTGAGGAGAAATGGCAGCTACCACAGGATGACTTTGGACCGAGATGATTTCTCTTCTGAAGTTATTTGCAGGTCTGGGATATAGTTAGAGGTTTGAGGTAAGGACTAGTGCTGCCACTTTCCCTTCCTGAGCACTAGTGTCTTTACTTGGGAAACTACCTGTGTGTGTCCAGCCTCATCTGCAAAGCTGATGCCAGGGTGGTAGGTGAGGCCTTGGCTTCTCTGTTTTCTCCCTCACTGTGGCCTACTGCTTTACTCATCACCTCTGACCTTCACCCCACACCATGGCGGGACAGGTCAGAAACTCCATCACAATTACCTGTTGCTGATGACCAGCTCCCTTTGATCAGAATTACTCACCTTGACTTTCCAACTTTTGCTACACAATCTTAAGCGGGGTGAGCACGAGTGGGTATGTGATTAACACAAAGTAGTTTTCAAAATCTGCTCTTTATTTACATTTGTTTAAGTCAATTACATGCATGTTTTATTTCTTAAATGAGTAATTAGCAAAAAATGCATTAAAATTTTAAAATAGCAATTAAATATACAAAAATATAGCTTACAAAAAACTGCGAATGTTTAAAAATATTCTGCTGCAGAATTCTTAGTGTACAAACATGTCTATGAAACCTGAGGCTCAGCATTTCATAAACCTTTTTTTGACGGAGTTATATAATATCTAGTGAATGAACCCCAGTGCACTAAACTACAGGACTAAACTACCTTCCCCGCAGTGTCAAGAGATCCAGAGATGACAGGTATCAGGAACACTATCTTGGAAGACGGCGTCACCAGGAGGGACTTCTAACACTGGTCCCATCTGCCTACTTGATCTAGTGGAACCTGGGAGGGAAGGAGCAGACAGAGGAACAGTGTGCAGCTGGTCAAAGGTGCAGATCCATTAGGCTTGTACTGGCACAGGGAAGTGAGAGGAGCTACATCGAAGTACAGACAAGTCCCTTGACTGGTGGGGCTCCCTTTCTAGGTACATGCTCCTGGAGTAGGCAGGGTCTTCTTGATCCTACAGCTACAGAAGTGAGTACTGGATAGGTAAGTAAAGAATGCTGATGTTTGGTCTAGAAGTGGAGATAACTATTTTGCATCTTGGAACAACTTGGGCTCTAAAACAACTGGAAAAATGACATTGAACAAGCCTCTTTTCCTCTTGATACTCACAAATGGAAGCACGTTAATCTTGCCTACTAAAGAACCATGACCCAGCATTTTCCAGTTAACTGCAAATTTCACCTGAACTTAAACATCATGAATTTAGACATTTCTACTCAAATTCATAACAGCTAATGTGAAAGACACACTAACCCAGGGGCCAAGATTTAACACATGACAGAAGGGTGGAGATTTACATGCAGTTCATTTTCAAGTTTCAGGTCGGGCCCAAATGCACTTTTGCGTCCTGGGGAAGCTCTGGGCGGCAGGACACCAGAGGGGTGGGTGAAGGCTGAGAGGCAGCAGTCCATGGCCTGCTCCCCACGTTGCCTAAAGGAAGCAGCTTTAATTTTCATATTCTCCAGGGGCAGAAATGAACTTCAGGGTAATGTCATGGAGTGGACAAAGTGGGCTAGGAAAATATGGGAAGCATTTTTGGGGGGGAAGGTGTGTGTGTGCGCACTTACAGTGGGGAGGGGAGCCTGACCCATGTAGCTGAACATCTATGGTGAATTTTGAGATTGATCACTTACTTGCTTAGCAACATCTGAGACATCTGCCTCGCAAGATAGGACAGTTCCTTGGCCTTCAGTTGCTGCTGCTTCTCAAGCTCCTGCCTCAAAAATGGGTGCTCAGCTAAGAAAGCAAGACAGTTATCAGGCATCACTGCTGGACTTGGGCTTCACTTGGAACTGGCCAAGGTGGTGTGGGCTGGGGGCAGCTTGTTCAGGTGGCTGCTATGCTGCTGGACCTGGATGAGAGGCCTGCACTGTTGTTCTTGGCTACAGAGCCTGCTCCTGTGTGTAGTCACAGAGTAGAAAGTGTCTGGAAACAGGTTGTGCTCCTGTATTTGGACATCTGTGATACGAGCAGGGGAGGGACTGCAATTTTTGGTTGTATAGGAAACTAGAATTCCCATGTGCTGCAATCAATAAAAATAGGCCTTACTCAAAAGGGATGTGACTGCAAAAGCATCCCCCATTCTGGGCTCACCTTTTACAGATAGGCTGACTTCCGGTGTGGCTCTTCCCACACAAATAGGAATGCTCCTTGAGTATACTCCAGTATCAGTTGAGTGGAGGAAAATGATATACATGCATGTAAATACACATGTGTGTGTGCGCGTGTGTTTGCCTGTATATACATCAATGACCTCTGGAAGGACACACAAGGAACAAAACTGGGTGCTCCAGGGGCCAGAAGTTGGGCTTGCTGGATGTCAGGGATGCAAGACGACTGACTTATGGACCATGGGAAGGGATTACCTATTCAGGATTTAAAAAGGCATATTAAGCAATGAGCAACAAGTCAGGGAGCACTGGGCAGAGGCAGATGGACGTGACTAGGGAAGATCGGGAGGAGGAAGGGAGCCAGCAGACCTGGGACAATGGGAGCCCTGCATGACGAAGTTGCCTAGTATCAGCAGCTCCCATGAGTCAGGCCTGTCATCTGCTGGACCATGGACACAGCTAATTCTTGCAAGAGCCAGTAAAGATACTGTTCTTACAATCCCTGGGTGATGGGTAAGGAAATTGGCTCTGAGAGGATAACTGGCAGAAAGGCACCTGCCTGGTGAGTAATAAAGATGATTGAAATCACTGATCACTTTTTATGTCCAGAGCTTTGGAGATGCCTCCCAGTGGGAAATTCCCACAAAGCCTCTCAGAAAATTACTACAGTCATTGAGAATAGCTTAGCAGAGTGGGATCAAGCCATGGAGATGACACTTTGGAGTGGGGCTGTGGAAAGGGCCTGAGGTCATGGATTCAAGGGGCTTGGCACTGGGGAAAATGCTCTTCATTTGTCAAGACTTGTGAAGAACTGACTATCTGGCAATGGTGGGAGGGAGGGTCCCTGTATCCCTCAGCCCAGACTTCCTCATGCATCGGCCACCTATTCCCCTCTGGCCGTTTTTGTCTTGTCCTGGTCCCTGGAAGGGCAGGCCTAACCCAATCACTCTGTGGCAAAGTAAAGTGGCAGATAACCAAGAATCCAAGTCAGGCTGGTTTTGTTCCATTTCTAAAGCCAGCTGAATTCAATTGTGCCTGTGGCAACCATTAGATAATGATTCAGTCACCAGTGGAATCCAGTTGGGGGTGGTGGGGCTGAGTTCTGTTCCAATAACCTATGGCACACAAGTAACCAATCTTGGAGCTGCTTAAGATGCATTAAGACAAAGTAAAATGTTATTAGCCAGTGGCCCCAGAGCAGATTGGAGTACCCACACGTCTACAGATTAACAAAAGGTCACCCACTCAGAGATAGATGTGGACAGGGCAGCCTCACTGTGTGGTGTGAGCCTGAGCCAAGTGTATTAAGGGATCCTTGACTCATTCTTTAAAAAAAGGTCCAGATGGAAATTTACCTTTGTCACACAATACTGTGATTAACCCCCAGCCACGTGCAGTTAGAGCAGTGCAGTACAGGGAAGTGCGGAGGAGGACCCAAATGTGGGTGGCAAATGCATTCAGGCTGTGTTGCTAAGAATTCCAGGAACTACTGCCAAGTGACAATGGCTATGCTGCAGAAGGACACCAAGCCAAGAAAGGGGAGATGACTGAGTAGAGGGGGCACTCAGCATGCCAATGCCCAGCCCCGTCCTAGTGGAAGAGCTGCATTTTAGAAAGTGCCCCCACACAAGTGTTGAGGTCACATTAGTGGCACCTCATGGGGCAAAGCAGACCCACTACAGTGCCCAGTGAAGAGTGCACAGCATTCTCGAGCTTTCCTCTAAACTATCTGGCTTTGCGCGTCTGGCCCAGTGCATGCCAACGACCTCAACTTGCTTTTGACTGTGACACAGTGAAATGAATTAATTTGCCTCCCTACAAATACAGGGACTTGGTGAGGCTGTCTCCTTGGTACTGACACAGGGACAGAAAAAGGCTGCAACTGAAAGGCTATAGTCCTACAAAAACGGAGCCAAAGCAATTTGCAGTATAGAGCGCAAGCATTCCTTTTCTGGGGAAAAAAATTCTCTTTCCTATTTGAACCCTGTAACAAGATGACATTTGTCCCAAGGCCATTCCATGGAAAATGGTGGGTGTTGGTCATTAATGAGGCTAGTCCAGAAGTAAGCCTACTTCTGACATTGGTCACTGAAAACATTTCACTGTAAACTGGGTACTTTGCAGCATTCAACTCTATTGTGCTACAAACAGAACGCAGAAACAGGGTGAAAGTCTGAGTGTACAAATGTTCTTTTCATGGGTGCCAAACAGGCTAAGGCTTTCACATAAAAATATTCCACACTTTCCTTGCCCTGTTTAAGAAACAGTCCAGTTGGCATACCATAGGAATACCATACAATAGGTCACACAGAAAACAGCCAATTCTGACCAAGTGGATTTGTAATTTTCCAAACTGGATTCTGTCCAGCACTTTTCTGGGCTAATAGGAATTTTCCTCATCCTTTGACCAGCTACCTGAGCCAAGGACAGGTTCCCTTTCCCATTCTAAGACGGTAGAGGCTGGATTCCAGAAAAAATTCCTGGATACATGCCATAAGCAGAATTGCAAAGCATCCTCCATCCTCTCTCCATACCATGGAGACTGTTTGCAGTGAGAAACTGCCCTACTCACACCAGTGGGAGCAGAGCAAAGCTGGAGCCCAGGAGCCCAGCCCTATAATGGAAGGAGGTGAACAGGGTGTGGGAAAGAACTAGAAAGTTCTTAGCTAATTTATACAATATTCATGAATCCCAACGGACTCTGAGTCATTTCTAGAAAAGTTGGACAGAAAGCCAAAGAACAGCATGCATTTCTCTCCTATAAAGACGCTTTCAATTAGTTTCACAAGTCCGAATACTGAGGCACACAGCAATGAATGAGCAGCCCTGCAGGAGCTTCCTGAAACTATTTACAATTTCAAGTGGATCCCCAGCTACAGAATTACAGAGGGATCTTATTTGGGATGCTTTAAATTGTTAAAAAGTCAATGACAGGCATTTTCTCTGAAGTAGAAACAGAGATAGGGCAAAAGGGGGAAGAGAACAGAGGGAAGGAAGGAGGGGAGAGGCGAGGGGAGAGGCAAGGGGGTCAGCATCCTATCAGCAGGGCCAGGAGGACTAGCCATTCTCAGCTGTCTTGAGAGGCTCCCATTGGCTACCTCCCAAGATAGTGGGCCAAGACCAGTGGCTATGCTGGAACCACACTTTGCATGGGGGAATGTGGGTAGCACTGAGATCCCCTGGAGCACACAGGGACAGCAAGGGCTGAGAGGCCCACCCCCTGTTGGGGATCCTGGTGGGCGGCTTGGCCAGGCCTCACTGGTGAAGTAGGCATGGGAAAATAAGAGGAAATGGCTTCTGACCAGGCCTCTCCAAATGCATCTAATGTTTTCAGCTTAGATAATTTGATAAGCAGGTGTTGTGAAACTGAAGGAGAAGTCACGGCGAGGGGCACTGTAACCAAAGCCCTTGGGTTCCAAGATGGCCTTATCAAAGAAACATAAGGTGAAAAGCCTTGTTGGCACTGTCTCACCAATCAGGTAACCGGTCGTGCTTCGGTTGAGGTAACCGCTGGTTTTACTTGGCTCAGGGGCTGCCAGGAAGGTTTGCTGCTGCTAAGGCATGCACAGTCTGCATAGAAGCTCATCTGTCCACAGGGTGGGGGGGTTGGTGGCTTTAAAGACCTGTTCTCAGTTCCCTTCTCTAACACTTGTGTTTATCTTCCCTTCTGCTTGAGAGTCACCTTACATGGAGATAAGTGTCTAGGAGACAGCATGTAATTGAGTCAGCAAGAGACTCATGAAGTTTCTTGAACCAAACCCACAGGCTCATTCAACTTCTTTTCTCTTGACATGGGGTAGTGTCAGCGCGCTTTGGTTGTCACAAGACCCAGAAGTCTGGGTTCTCAGCTTAGTTGGCCCAAGAGTTCTTCATGAGGCAAAGGAAGTGGCAGCTGGTACCCCAGCTAGAGCAGCCAACACAGAGAGCACTGGTATTCCTCCTGCCTCTATGCGGACGTGGGAACCTGCAACAGTTTGATCCTGTGGTAAGCTATACAATGTTCTCTGCCCCAGGCAGGGGCCCCTGTGGGGGTCCACGGTCCTGCTTACTGTGCAACTGGGCCAGCTGCAGAACTGGCATGTTGCATAATGGACACACTTTCCGAACCTCCAGCCACTTAATAAGGCACCTGCAGAATGAGACACCACACGAGGGAAGACATCAGTCCCATGCTTATGGTACACCACCCTGCCCCACCCCGCCCACACATCTTGCATGCTGAACACTTCTGTTGCCCAGAACAGCCAGGTCCTGAGGAGCTCCACCCCTCGGTGGAGAACGCACTTTACCCTCTGGAGGAACCAGAGCCTCCAAGCATGCTGTACCCTCAGTCATCCACGGTTTCTCAAAGAAGGAGAAGTACACTGACGGTGGTGTGAAGTAGGAGAAATAAAATTTTCTAATAGAAATGCAAAATGCATAAAATTGCAAGAGAATGGGGAATATGAATATATCTGCAAGAAGAGGGAGGCAAGCCCTAGCCAGTTCTGCTCAGTGGTTAGAGCGTTAGCCTGCAGACTGAAGAGTCCCAGGTTCGATTCCGGCCAAGGGCACGTACCTCAGTTGCAGGCTCGATCCCCAGCCCTGGGACCCAAGGGCATGTGGGGGAGGTAACCAATCGATGTGTCTCTCTCAAATCAGTCCCTCTCTCCCTTCCACTCCTCTGAAAAGCAACGGAAAAAATATCCTCAGGTGAAGATTAAAAAAAAAAAAAGAGGGAGGAGAGAGCCCCACACTACCCTTTACATTCAGACATATCTTGATTTAAAATAACTGTGGTTTTGATTAAAATAAGTTTTTTGGAATGGAAGCTCTCACTGGAAAGTTCCAGTTAAACAGCTATAGCCTGGACTCCCAGGAGGTGTTGGCTTGTCTGGCTCTCTGCCCAAAGTCCTGCTGTGGTGGTCATATTCCACAACCCCAATTCTCACAGTGTCATGCACTCACTCCCCCAGTACTTTCTGTATATGGACCCATCATGAAGCCTTCAAGCTTGTCTGGCAATGTCCCAAGCCCACCAGTAAGTTGGTAGATGTGCCTCAAACTCAGGTCCCCTTAAATAATTCCACGCCAATACTCACTTTCTGTGGAAGGCATGCTTACATGGACAAATCCCCAACTCATCTCGAGGCTTGAAGTCTTCTAGACACACTGCACAGAGCTGAAAGATAAATTCACTGATGAGACAAAGTGTCTGCTAGCACTCTCCCAGGCCACAAAGTAAAGTGCAGGCCCCCAAGGCCCAGCCATTTGAAGGAGTTTACAATGTCCCACAGTTCATTAACTGAAAGAAACAGGCTCAACTGGGCAAGGTCTTCTGAGAAGAGCCTTCTGCTCCTCCTGTCACGTCTTTAAAGATGGAGGGCAGATGGGAGAAGACAGAAAGCAACAGGTAGTTTCCTTTGCTTTAGTGCCTTAGAAGAATAAGACTTAGATTAATTCTCACTAGATAGGCTGGACATAATGTAACTTGCCTGGGGTGTGCTCAGGGGCTGACTTTCTGCTGGGGTGCTCTGCCTGCTCAGCACCATAGCCCCGGAAGGGGACTGTTCAAGCCCTGGGGCAGGCCCTGGAGCTCTCCTTTCTATGGTAACATTTTTTTATTTTAAATCCTCACCAGAGTTTCTTTTTTCCATTGTTTTTCAGAGAGAGTGGAAGGGGGAGAGAGAGAGAGACAGTGAGAGGGAAACATCCATATGAGAGAGACACATTGATTGGTTGCCTCCCACTTGTGCCCTGGCAGGAGCCAGGAATCGAGCCTGCAACCGAGGTACATGCCCTTGGCCAGAATAAAACTCAGGACCCTTCAGTCTGCAGGCCAATGCTCTAACCACTGAGCCAAACCGGCTAGGGCAAGAGAATAAGTTCTGGAGAGCAGACTAGTAAGTATTTTATGCTTCTTTGTGTGGTTTAGTACAATGTCTACCATGTTTTACGTATTCAATAATTTAAAAATTATTTTAAAATTTAATGTTCACTTATTTTCCTTCTTTAAAATCAAGAACACTGCATATAAAACTAACATTGGGCTGGCTGGGTGTGGCTCAGTGGTTGATCATGGACCCATGAACCAGGAGGTCACGGTTCGGTTCCCAGTTGGGTTTGTGGGCGTGCAGGAGGCAGCTGATCAATGACTCTCTCATCACTGATGTTTCTATCTCTCTTTCCCTCTCCCTGCCTCTCTCTGAAGTCAGTAAAAACATATTAAAAAACAAAACCAAAACTAACATCTGTTTGATCAACTTCCCCTAGTTTTTTTCCTCTTTTCTCATCCTCCGTGTGATCATTACGTGTTCTTCTCAAACAGAGTAAAACACTTTGCAGTCTGTATACAAACCCATGAACAATCTGGTGTTTATTTCATTTTACATAAACATTTATATCATTTTGCAACTTGCTTTTATCAAGACCCCATTAGAGATTTTTCCAGGTTGATTGATGTATTTATAGATAGAACTTGTTCCTTAATTTTGCCTGCCTCATTGCATGAATCACCGTATCAGGTTTTCTTCCTTCCCTCTCCCCTTCTCTTGTGGGTAATCTTCCAGTGTATTGTGTTTTATTTATTTGTTACACTACTGATGGACATTTAGTTTATCTCTGATTTTTCACTATTATAATTATTCATTAATAACAGTATCCATATTGAAATTCCATGTGCTTACACAGGACCAAGCTACATGTCACTATATAATTAGGCTTCACACATACACAAAAGTTTGACAAAAATAGTTTCATTACCAAGAAATGCAGCTGGAAAGGACCAAATGAATTGTGAAAAATGCATGATGGTCTCTAAATACAAGCTGTAGAGCAAGGTTAGGTTTTCCTAACTATAGTTTCAAATAACAGGGGGGAGGGTGGATCAGTAGCTTGGTCAGACCTAGTGAATCTGAAATTGGTGGGTACAGCTGGGATACCGACTCTGATATACAATGCTGCAACACAGTGCACTTACTCAGGACAAAGATTCTAAACTGACGGGTCAGACCAGTAAAAAGACTTCTGTTCCTGACAAACCTGGTTATTCAATATTGCTAATGTATGTCAGGATTTAATCTTTTCATTTATGGCCATCAAAGAGACCCCAAATAGAAAAGGGATTGCCCTGTATTACTTCATGTTAATTTTGGCCACATGCCAAAGTTAACTTTTGGAAAAGTTTAAAAATCAAACAGTAATCGATGCTTGAGTTCAATCCAAGGTTAGGTCTAAAATGCTGTAACATATAAACTCTGATTAAAAATATGCAGAAAGCCTGGCCGGGTGTGGCTCAGCAGTTGAGCATCGACCTAGGATCCAGGAGACCTCGGTTTGATTCCAGGTCAGGGCACCTGCCCGGGTTGCAGGCTCGATGCCCAGTCGGGGGCGTGCAGGAGGCAGCCGATCAATGACAACAGTCATCATTGATGTTTCTATCTTTCTGTCTTCCTCTCCCTTCCTCTCTCTGAAATCAATAAAGATATATTTAAAAAACAGAAAATNCTCTCTCCCTTCCTCTCTCTCTCAAATCAATAAAGATATATTTAAAAAACAGAAAATAAAATAAAATAAAAATATGAAGAAAGAGCAAAGGAGCAGTAAATGATTTCAAAGTGTTCAACAATAATATAAATCATTTTTTTTATTATTCAAATAATTTCACAAACTAACTGTCTTTAAAAGGACTGGCAATGTAGCTTCACCACAGTTAATGTAATAAAACATAGATATTACACGTGCAGCTTTCCAAGTCCTGGCTTTAAACACCAACTTAAAAACTCGGAAAAGAGAAAGGGCCCTAAAATTAAAAATAAAAATTCTGAACATCTGTAGTTAGAGGCAACACAAGGAATAGAACAAGAAAGAATTCTTAGACTATGTCTTAAGGTATACATCATGATACACACACACTTTTTTGTATTTAAGTTACAAAGCCTAATAACATAGGGAACACCTACGAACCAACAACCATGTAGCCTCAACACTAGATAATCCCAAGGATATACCTCTCCTTGTATATTCTTCCCTATTCCATTCCCTCTGCCTCACCTCCCCAAACTCCTACCCCCAAGAAATAATCACTGACTTTTTTGTGACATTGGTAAGAATGGACTACTGGGAACAATTTCAAGAGTGAAATTACTGCAAATTCACCTTGAGTAGAAAAACCAACTTATATCTATCTCATACTCATGATATAGCACTGACAGCGAGCAGCATCCCTGCTGCTATGCAATCTTACATGGGGACCATCCCTATTAAAAACATAAGTTATGTTACTCTTTTAAAGTCTTCACACAGCCCTGACCAGTGTGGCTCAGTTGGTTGAGCACTGTCCCATGCACTGAAAGGTCGCTGGTTCAATTCCCAGTCAGGGCAAATACACAGGTTGCGGGTTTGATCCCAGTCAGGGTGCATGCGATTGATGTTTCTCTCTCTCTCTCTCCCTTTCTCTCTCTCTCTCCCCCCCCTTCCTCTCTAAAAAAATAAAAACATATTTAAAAAAATAAGTTCATACAATTGACTTTTATATGACCTCATCCTCAAATAGTCTATTAATCTGATCAAAATAAACCTAATTTTTTTCAACTTCTGAAAATAAAGATGTTTAAGCATGTCTCCAAAAAAAATTAAATACCTCTAAGGCAACTTACCTCATGTAAATTCAGTTCTTTTACTTTCTCTTTTAATATAACCTGTAAGACAAAAAAGTATGTTTTTATATCCATTTAAATCTGTAATTAAAAAAATTTCTCATTATACTTACAAATATTTTTCTTTTGTGTGTATAGCTCATTTCCCCTATATTCAATATTGAAGAGAATTTCTTTTACAGTTTGAGATAGAACATTTAATCAACATTCTTTGACCTTGAGCAGTGATGCAATATCCTTCTGGAAAGCAATTTTAAATCTGTGACAACAGATTAAATTTTGGGAAAAGACATTAAGTATGCCCATCTGGATTAAGTGCAAACATGGGGGCAAATAAATGAGGTTCACTGCCTTATGGTTCAGTAAAACACAGCACTGGCTGATGAGACTGACTGATTAGTAATTTATAAAAGATTAAAAAGATCAATCTTAATCTTAGAAGTTTTGCTCAATATTATGCATCACTATCCTCAGAAAACTTTTGCTCTATCTAGAGTTATGCAACAGGCTTAAAAGTCATCCAAGTGCTGTTCCTAACTTGACTTTGTAGTGACTGGATATCAGTTTAAAAGAATGCCAATTGATAAGAGGGCAAGTTACTATTTCAATTGAAAATTTCTGAGAATAAACTTAGTTTGTTAGTTACATATCATCAAGTGAAAAAACAGGCAAGTGAAATCTGAGAAAAATCTCGATTTTGAGTGTATTATATTCCTGAACCAAAAATAGTCTTTAGGGCAAATCACAGTTTCAGGGATGTATTACATTTCAAATTCAGTATTTTTTAAGGATAATTTTTACCATATGTCTTGTGACTTTATTAGCTCTATTAGTCAATTTCACCTTTTAAATGACTAGCAAGGCCAATTTCACTTTCTAGTTAGCATTTTTAACATACAACTATCTTGTAGGTTGTCAAGATCATGATAGAACTGAGATAAAAAGATTCATTTATTTAGAAAACTAAAACAGTCTACTCTGTGTATGAATCCCACATGAGATCTATGGGGAAGAGTGTGTGGACATCTAAGGAACTCTCCAATGGGCTCAGATTTCAAAGAAACCAGGCAGAAGATGGACAAAAAGGTATGTAATCCTAAAATGGTGAGATGGTGCTATAACATCATGTCAACAAGGTTAAAGGCTTAAGTAAGCTGAAGCTTGCCACACACCCTCTTGCCAAAAAAGCTAGGAACAAAAAAAATATTTCATGCTTTGGTCCAAAAAAAAATTAAGGACAACTAGGCCCACTGTTTGGTGTCAGTGGTAAAATGTTAATGGGTGACACATGGAAGAAAAAAAACCAAATTTTATTTTGCCTTCAAGTAAAGCTAAGTTTATTACTTTAAAGAACAAATCAGTAAAAGGATAGTACAAAGGGGTTGGAGTTATCAGTGATGATCCAAGTAGACTTCTAGTAGTGTGACATGAGCTAACATTTAAAGTACAAAAGGGGAGGAGATGAGATCACTATAACAGAGCTGGTCATTTCTGAGGAACTGGTATGTCTTTAATAAAGGAGGCAAAAAAATTATTTAATGGAATCTCATTTAATATAATCTTTAAGGATTATAAACTACAGCATTTCTCTTTAGCGAAATGTTATCTTAAGTTCCATGTTAAATTATTGTATCGTGAACTTTCTATAACTTCGAATAATTAGAAAGAAGAGTGCTTAAAGCTGATCTATTTTGTACTGCAAACTGGCAAGTGAAATGCTAAAATGAACACAAGTCCTAGTTTAAAATGAGTGGAAATATGAGTTCTCATTTTTTTTTTTGGTCAAAAACACTATCAAAGCCAATCTGAAGTAAATTTCTCACCTGTTTGTAGGCATAAAATTCTTTGTGTGCTTGATGTCTTAGCCTAAAAGACAAATGAACAATGTGATATTGAGATTTCTAAGACAACAATTTGAAAAAAATAAGGAAACTGCTAATTTTGGTATCAGTTTATATCATTTATGGTTTAAAATCCAGAATCTTTATCCTGAAATACACCCAAATGACATATCTGTTACCACGTCATGAGAAAGTGACCAGTGAACCATAAAATGTTATTGAAATATAAGTTCAAGTAAAATCTCATTGAAACAAAATTTCAGTACAACAAATATTTTAACAAAGCCTCAATTCTTTTTATATTGATGATAGTCCACTTGTTACAATATTTAATATATCACATTTTTCTTAAAAATTTTAAGTATTATACATCTAGTAATGTACAAAAACCTTAAGAATTCAGCTAAATATTAAAATACACACACACACACACACACACACACACACACATAAACACACCAGTGTAACTATCATCTAGATCAAGCTATACATTTCCAGCACCCCTTATATGAATTCTCCCAATCAATATCCACCCCTAAGGGGTACCAACTATCCTGATTTCTATCATTGTAGACTAAAGATGCTTGGTTTTGAATTTCACATAAATGGATCATTTGGTATATACTCTTTTGTGTTGGCTTCTTTCAGTCAACAATTACTTTTGAAATTTATTCCATGTTGCAGTAATTCTCTTTTTAACTGACATATAGTTTTCCATCATATGAACACTATAAATAAATATAATTTATTTATCCATTCCACTGTTGACAAATATTTATATTACTTCCAGTTTTGGGCTACTATGAATAAAGCTGCTACACAAATTCTCCTACATGTCATTTAGTAGACAGACTCACTTCTGTTGAGTATATACATAGGAATAGAACTGCTGATCTAAAGTGCTTGTAGCGATTTCTACCTCTATGGGTAATGCATGAGAGTTCTTGCTGCTCCACATCTTTGCTACTGCTTCCTAAGGTCAGTTTAAAAATCTTTAGCCAATCTGGTGGGTATTCAGTGGTATCTCAGTTTTGATTTGCATTTCCCAAATACTGTGCAGAACCCTTTCATATGCTTATTCCCAATTGTATATCTTCTTTTATGAAATGCCTGTTTGAGTTTTTTGCCCATTTAAAAAAATGAGTTGCCTACCTTTTTCTTATTGATTTGTAGGAGTTCCTTATATATTTTAGATGCAAGTCCTCTGTTGGGTCTATGTACTGCAATTATCTTCTCCTACTCTGTGGCTTTTACCTTTTCATTCTCTTAATGGTATCTTTTTAAATATATCTTTATTGATTTCAGAGAGGGGAAGAGAGAGGGGGAGAAAGAGAGTTGAAACATCAATGATGAGAGTGTCATTGATTAGCTGCCTCCTGCATGCCCCCAACTGGGGATGGAGCCTGTAAACCAGGCATGTGCTGACCAGGAAGCAAACCTCGATCTCCTGGATCCTAGGTTGATGCTCCACCACTGAGCCATGCCTGGCCCGGCAGAAGCTTTTATTTTAAATTAAGTCCAATTTATCAACTCTTCCCAATGTCAGTTCTTTTTGTGTCCAATTAAAGAAATATTTGCCTAACCCCAGATCATGAAGATGTTGTCTTGTGAGTACAGTGAAAACAATTTGTTATTTTATCTATTACATTTAGGTATATGATCTATATAAAATTAGTCTTTTATGTATGACTTGAAGTAGAGGTCAAGATTCTTTTCATCCAAATGCAGATTTTCATTTGACTCATTTATTACAAAGATCCTCCTTTCCCCATTGTGCTGTGGTGGCACATCTGTTTTAAGTCAGACATAATACGTGAGTCTGTTTCTGGAGTTTTTATTCTGTTCCATTGGTTTATTTGCTTATACTTGTGTACTGGATTGAACAGTGTCCCCCCAAAACTTATACTTAACTGGAACCTTAGAATATAACCTTATTTGAAAATAGTCTTTGCAGATTATTGTTAAAATGAGGTAATACTGGGATTAGGGTGGACCCTAAATCCAATATCACTGATGTTCTTAGAAGAGGAGAGGAAATACAGACACTGGGAAGAAAGTCAGGTGAAGACAGAGATGGAGACTGAGGTGATGCAGTTACAAGCCAAAGAATATCAAGGATTGCTGTTAAACACCAGGAACTAGGAACAGGTGACGAAAGATCCTGTCCTAGAGCCTTCAGAGGGAGTATGCCTCTGCTGACACCTTGATTTTGAACTTCCCACCTCCAGAATGGTGAGATTAAATTTCTGTTGTTTTAAGCCACCCAGTTTGTGGTACTTGGTTTCAGCAGCCCTGGGAAATGGATGAACCTTGTCAATACCATGCAATTCTTTTTTTTTTTTTTTAAATATTTTGAAATAATTTTAGATTTACAGAAAAGTTACAAAAAAATAGTTACATATACCTTTCTCCTAGCTTTTCCAATGTTCATATCTCACACAACTATAGTACAATGATAAAAACAAGTAAATTAATATATATATCGATATTACCATTGATATATTAACAAAACAACAGACTGTATTTGAATTTCACCAGTTTTTTCACTAATGTCCTTTTCCTGTTCCATGATCCAATCCAAAATCCCACCTCGCATCTAGTTATGTCTCCTTAGCCTCTCCCAATCTGTGACAGGATCCTTTTCTTTCAAGATTTTGATATATTAACCATGATCACTTGGTTATGGAAGTGTCTACTGGGTCTCTCCACTGTAGTTACTATTTTCCCATTTGAAACCGATCAACATCTTGGTGATGTTGAAACTATGCAAATATCCTATTTATCCTCAAGCTTTTGCCCACTGTTTTAGCACCCATCTTGCTTGCAACAATTACTGTAGTGTTCACCTGGTGGTGTGTAGTTTCCTTATGTATTAACTGGAATTCTGTAAGATGCCCCTTCTCCCTCATTTATTTATATCAGTATGGACTCATGAATATTTGTTTAGTCTATGGGTTACTATTCAATATGATCATTATTTTGTTGCTCAAATTGATTTAGGTTTGGCGTTTAAGAGCTCTATCAGGTTGACCTCTGTGTCCTTTAACATGCCCAATCCTTTTCCATGCATTTCCTTGCTTACTGGCACTGAAAGATTTCCAGGCTCATCTTGTATTTTCCATGCCCCAGTTGTGGAATTAACCACTTCTTTCAAAGAACCTTGGTTCCTGGTAGTGTAAGTCCTCAAGCTTTGTTCTTAACTATTGTCTTGTCTATTCTTGGTCCTCTGCATTTCCATATCAATTTCATGAGTTTGTCAATTTCCACAAAAAATCTGTTGGGATTTTGACTAAGATTTTATGGAATTCATAGATCAACTGGGGAAGAACTTTGCAAGATTGTTTCCAACCTATGAATCTACTTATTAGATATTAATTTCTTTACACATTTCTAGGCAGAATCCTTATACATCTTTCATTAGATTTATTCCTAAGTATTTGGTATTTTTTGATCTACTATACATGATAATTTTCATTTTTAATTCTTTGTTGCTTCTATATAGAAAAAACTATTTTTGTATATTGATCCTATATCTAATGACTTGGTAAGTTCACTTACTATTTTTAAATGGTTTACCTGTAGAATAGTTTGGATATTTTAATACATACAATAATTTTGTCTATAAATAATGAGTGTAAGCTCTGCCTTTTTTATCTTAATATATTTTACTTCTTTATTTTTTATTTCATTTCTTTTATTTCTTTTCTTTTCTTCATTGGCTAGCACCTGTAATGCAATGTTTAAATAAAAATGATGATAGTGAATGTCCCTATCAATACCTCTACTACTACTAAGTATGATGTTTTCTCTAGATTTTTTGTACATAACCTTGATTCAAATACCAAAGTTCTCTTATATCCTAGTTTTTTATTTTTAAAAATCATGAATAGCTATTTTTATCCAATGCTTTTTTTCCCATCACTGCCCCCGCCGTCCCTTTAACTGTTAATGTAGTATATTGTATTGATACCTTCATTCCTGGAATAAAGCCCACTTGGTTGTAAAATACTCCCTTTTTTGCATATCCTTGAATTTGATTTACTAATGTTTTGTTCATAAGAGACATAAGTCTATAATTTCCTTTCTTCTAATGTCCCTGTGAGGCTTTGCATAATTTTAATCAAAATTATGCTGTCCTCATTATATGAGTTGAGAAGTACTTCTTCTATTCTTTGGAAGAGTCATTTAAAAGTGGTTTTTCTTAAATGTTTGAAAGAATTCACTGGTGAAGTTGCCTGGCTTGCAGTCTTTGTGGGAATGCTTTAATAACACATTCAATTTCTTACTAGGTATATAATTGTTAATGTTTTCGATTTCTTCAAGTCAGTTTTTTATTCCTTTAATAAAACATTAATATTCCTTTATTTATATTCACATAACATACAATTAACAATCTTAAACTGTATAATTCAGTGGTGCTTAGTGTGGTCACAATGTTGTACAACCAAACCACTAGCTCTAGCTTCAAAACTTTCCCATCACCCTCCAAAAAACATGTGGTCTCATTAAGTAGTCACTCTCCAGTCCCCCTTCTCCCATCTCCTGGTAACATCTAATCTGCTGTCTCTATGGATTTGCCTATTATGGATAATATATAAAATATATATATAAAAGAAATCATGCAATACGTGACCTTTTGTGCCTGGCTTTTCATTTAGCATGGTGTTTTTGAGGCTCATCCTAATTGTAGTATATATCAGTTCTTCACTCCTTTTTATGGCTGAATATATGCTACAATTTGTTTATCCATTCATCTGTTGGTGGACATTTGAGTTGTATACATCTTTGGACTATTATGAAAACTGCTGCTATAAGCATTCCTGTATAAGTTTCTGTGTAGACACATCTCTTCATTTGTCTTGGGCATTCACCTAGAAGTGAAATTTCTGTGTCATATAGTAATTCTGTTTAACTTTTTGAGGAGTTGCTAAACTCTTTTCCACAGCAGCTGCACCATTTTACACTCCCACCTGGTAATGTATGTGGGTTTCTCTTTCCCCACGTCCTTACCAACACTTCCATATG